CCCTGAATGTGGGTAACAGTTGGGAGGTCAGGACAGTCTTTGTGAACTCTGGGAGTGGAACCAGTATTTATGCCTAGTGTACAGACTCCATTATGTATGGAGGGATACTCTCTCAGCCTATATACATGGGGTAGTGCCTGTACCCGGCGCAAAACAATGTGACAAACATTAATGATCCCCTTTGGAGGCCCATGCAGAGTGGGGCAGGGGTTGGTGGGTGACTTTGGCAGACACGAGTGAGAGGGAACTAGGATTGGTATGTAAAATAAGATTGTTTTAATTTAAATAAAAAGGTAGCGATGGATGCAGTCTAATCCATTTGGTTATCAGTCCTCCCTCTCTGTTACTGGCTTTCTTGAGTTCAGCTCAGTGCTTAGCCATGGGAGTCTGCCTCTGCTTCCATCAGCCACTGAAAGAAGGTTCTGTTTCCCAGACTCTCTGGCCATGGTATTGTAGGCTGGAACTCCCCACATCTATGTCTCAAATCCATATATGAGAGAGTACATGCCATGTTTCTCTTTTTTTGACTGGGTTACCTCACTGAGGATGGTTTCTTCTAGTGCCATCCATTTGTCTGCAAATTTCAGGATTCCATTGTGTAAATGTACCACATTTTCTGTATCCACTCTTCAATTGAGGGGCATCTAGGTTGCTTCCAACTTCTGGCTATTACAAATAATGCTGTTATTAACATAGTGGAACAGGCATCCTTGTTGAATTAATGGGCATCTTTTGGATATATGCCTAAGAGTTGAGTTGCTGGGTCTTGTGGTAGACTGATTTCCATTTTCCCGAGGAATCTCCATACTGATTTCCAAAGTGGCTGTACAAGTTGGCATTCCCACCATCAATGGAGTAGTCTTCCCCTTTACCACATCCTCTCCAGCATAAATTGTCATTGATGTTTTTTATTTTAGCCATTCTGACAGGAGTGAGATGGTATCTGAGAGTTGTTTTGATTTGCATTTTCCGGATGGCTAAGGATGTTGAGCACTTTCTCAAGTGCCTCTCAGCCATTTTAGACTCCTCTATTGAAAATTCTCTACTTAGTTCCATAGACCACTTTTTAATTGGATCCCTTGGTGTTTTGGAGACTTGCTTCTTGTGTTCTTTGTAAATTTTGGAGATCAGCCCTCTGTTAGATGTAGGGTTAGTGAATATTTTTTCTCTTTCTTTGGGATGCATTTTTGTCTTGCTTTCTGTGTCATTTGCCTTACAGAAGCTTCTCAGGTTGATTTCAGAGAGAAATAAATTGTAGACGGAATTTGAAGCATCAATATAACAACTTGAAAGCTCCATGAAAAGAGTCAAGGATGACACTGTTGCAAAGGTTGAGCCCACCCAAGCATCTCATCAGAGAGAAGTAGAGAAACTCCTTTGCCAAAATGCATTAGTGTAGGAGTGAACCCCACAAAGCTAACCCCATGAGGGTGGGGACATGTAAACTGACACAGGTAGATATAAAAGGAAGTGAAAGGAAAAGGAACCTCCCTTTTCTCCTGGAAGCCAGCCATGCTTCTAACTCCTGGTTTGTGCGACTCTCTCTCTCTCTGGTAAATAAATATATTGTTTTCCTTATAGCATCGAATATCATTGATAACTTAGAAAATTTCTCTTACAAAGTTGTCAAACAGAATTAGAAAACCGCAACTCAACAGGTACTTACAAAACATTTACAAGGCCAAGTTAATGATTTTTCAGGGTAAAGTAGGATCATTGCACTTCTCAAGTTCAAAAAGAAATCCTATATGACTGGTAACAAAAATGTTTGGAGAACTGAAAGAAGACAATTAAAACCATACACCAGAGATGAATCATTTCATGGACTTACAAAGAACAACTAGGAAGACAGAAATGGATCATAAACAGATACAGCAAAAACTCCAGCAGCGAATACAGCAAACATACCAAGTATTAGAACCTGAGCAAAACAAGGAAGTTGGGCAATTGAAAAGATTGCATAGTTAAGAACAAGTAGCTATACAAGTTCTTCACAGACTTGATGTTCTGTGGGAGCTGCAACAATAGGGCAGTAAATATTCTAATTGCTCTTGCAGATGAAGTGAATACAGCAAGTGTTTTAGTTTGAAACTGAAATGGTGTGACATCATTGGAAATTGGATTAACATGTGCCATTGTTTGGACAGCTTTTGAAAAATAAGGATCTACAATACTGCCATACGTGAACACCACCAGACAAACATCAGAATTCATTGCCTTCAACAAACAGGAAAAAGAAAATATATTATGGTGTATTTTATTAAAAACCAATCACTAATTACATCTCAGATTGTGTGCAGGTTCATTAATGTTAGAAGACAATGACTAGCAAGGTTTACTGCAAAAGGTTTATCTATGCAACAGTGGAAGAAAAGTGCTCATCCTCAGCCACATTTTATATATTAGATTTGCAGTTTTCATTTCTGTATTACAGAAAATCAGCTCTTCCTCATAAAATGGGTAGAGAAATATGGGCCTCATGTAGGGAACAGTATCACCCTTTGTCAGCTTTTGTATAGAACATCCTTAGTAATTTAGATGACAGAAGTAACTTCTGTACAGGGAAACAACAGGTTCTCCTGGGCTTTATGGACCTGATAAAAACGTGACAAGTAATATCTTAAGGTATTGTATCCCTTAATGTAGGTCAGGTCTAGTAAATGATAGAAATACTTAGATTAACAATTATGGGGTAATTACTTAAGTCAGAGCTAGCTAGTAAGAAACAAGCAAGGCCAACAGCTTCATAATTAATATAGACTACTGTGTATTTATTTGGAACTGATGGGGCTCTGGAACCAGGCTGGCGGGAAGGCTTCTCTCAAAGGAAAAAGCTTCTCTTTACAAACACCTATAATCTGAGCAGGATATGTCTGGGTGCTCTCCTCAGGCTCTCGCAAGTGTTGTCAATGCTGCATTCTGATCTAGGTAGCCAAGAGTATCCTTTTATAAGTTCAGTGAGGTTGTTGGTACAAAGTTATTTTTTTTGTTCTTGGTCCCACAAAGATCCTCAAGACTACCTAATTTTTCAAATGTTTTGACTCATTAACTCATGTGTCAGGAATAGAACCCTCACTAGCCCTCTCCAATGACTTTCCCAGTTACTGATGGGGCATTCAATGTGGAAAACATCAAGAATGTAGAAGATTTTAAAAGTGTTACTAATCAGCCTGGGCCAGGAGAAGTTGGTGAGTTCCATCCCAAACACAGAAAAATAAGTATTCTATTCATATAGGCAATGAGTCTTTCCTTAAACAAATATATGCATATATATATATATATATACATATATTTATATATAGAGCCACAGAAAAATAAATACACTTATGTGATTTCTTTTTTATGATATCTGAATAAATTTCTTTCAACACATGTAACCTTTTATTATCCTTTCAGCAAATGATATATACTGGGTTGATTTAAATTCTTACCATTCTAAATAGTGCAGACATAAGAATGGGTATGAGGTATATCTCTTTTATCCTGATTTGTACTTGTTAACAAAGTAGCTAAATCATATGGTAGTTTAATATCTTGTACCTGAAAAGCAGATGTATAAAATTCTATATTTACTGCAAATGAATATTTAATTTTCAATATTATTATTGGCTTAACACTAAAATGTTAATGTCAGATAACTACTTTGCTTTGGGCATCAAATGCCATTAGCTGCCACTTCACTAATGTAATCCATTTTGAAGATTGTCTCCATGCATAGATTAGGCTGGCCTAGAACTTATTATGAACCAAAGGCTGGTCTCAAATACATAATCCTCATGTTTATATCTCTCCAGTTCTGGTATTACAGGTGTGATTCTTGACTTCTTGCTATGAGATGTTATTTATTTACTTATTTTTATGTGCCTTATACTTTTTCACTTAATGCTGGGTTTATAATTTACTTTTTATATATACTTTCTGAGTTCACTAATCTAAACTCCAATCATGTTATGTGATTTTTATTATTGCTAATTATTTTCTTTCTTCCTCTTTTGTTGTTTTTCAAGACAGGGTTTCTCTGTGTAGTTTTGTAGACCAGGCTGGCCTCAAATTCACAGAAAACTGCCTTACTCTGTCTCTTGAGTTCTGAGATTAAAGGTGTGCACCAACTCCTCCTGGCTATGATTTTCATTCCTTTTCAAACATTTTTTTTATCCTTTAGATGGCAAAAATCTCTGTAGGTCTTGCAAAATTTTTGTTTGGTTTAAGAAGGCTGATCCCCCTTCTCGAGATATTTTTAGTTGTGGACTCTGTCAGGAAGACCAACTGAAACCAGTTTTAATAATCATAATTTGTAAATTATCCTAGAGTAACCATTTCTGAAATAAAAAAAAACTTGGCAGTGTTGTTCCACAGCCATGACTTCTTGAAGACATTTGGTTTTTTTGTTCCTCTCCCATTTCCCCAAATTTGGTGTCCTCTTTCAGTTTCCTGAAGTTGTGCAGAGGATACTTGGTAGTTCCTGCTGTGTTTAACTTTGTTTTGAGATGAAATTACTGATCCCAGAGTTAAATTAATGTTCTTTAGGATTTTCACGGAAATAATTCTGGGCTTCTCTTTTCATTTTTGTCCAATGTTGATCTCAGAAACTGGAGAACACATGTCTGAGGGACTGTTCATTGTCCTCAGTATAATAGTAGCTTTGGAAATGAACAAATTTTGACCCATTTTTCTCTCTCCTTCTCAACTTTCCTCTTTTTCTCCTCCACCTTGTTTTCTTTTATTGCATGTTTCTGTACTTTCATTGTTGCAATTTTTTGAGCATATCTTATCCTTTCCCAGGTCTGTCATCTCAGATAGCTCTCTTAAAGTTTCTGCAAAAGTCATCTGCTTTAAGTAACTCTTGCATTTTAACCAAACATGCTATTATTAGAGCACCTAGTAGATTGAGGTAGGAGAGCTATAAGCCAATCCCTTTCAGTGTTTGCTCATATCCTCTGTGATGGTATTTTTGGCTCTTGACAATAGTCACCATCACACAAGCTGCCAGGGATTGGCTTTTTTTTTGCTGACTGATTTGCATGGGTCCCTCCAGCCCAGCCTAGCTGCTCAGAAATTTTAAACCAGGCCTTTGCAGCAAGAACTGCATCAGACAGCAGGTAGAGCAAGATGAAGTCACAGACACAGGTCCTCATGTCCATGCTGCTCTGGGTGTCTGGTGAGAAATTCAAAAGTATTATAATCATTCCAGAGTAACTTCTTTGTATATGAGACATTTACAATATGTGCCAGGGTGTAGTATTTCTTGTATAATAATACAACACTTTGACAATGTGGTATTACAAGGACATTTAATGACAATTTTCAACCGGCTTATTATAATCTGTGTTTGTATGTGTATGCATCTTCATTGTCCATTTCTAATTTCAGGTGCCTGTGGAGAAATTGTGATGACTCAGTCTCCATCCTTTCTCGCTGTATCAGGAGGAGAGAAGGTCACCATCAACTGTAGATCCAGTCAGAGCCTTTTATACAGTAAAAACCAGAAGAACTACTTGGTCTGGTTCCAACAGAAACCGGGGCAGTCTCCTAAACTGCTGATCTACTGGGCATCCACTCGGCACACTGGGGTCCCTGATCGCTTCATAGGCAGTGGATCTGGGACAGATTTCACTCTCACCATCAGCAGTGTTCAGGCTGAAGACATGGCAGATTACTACTGTATGCAGAATTATGATACTCCTCCCACAGTGCTTCAGCCTCCAACAGAAACCTCTTCTGAGAGTCTCACCAGCTGCTTGCACCACACACAGCCCTGGACTTTCATACTTCTCCTTCCAGCCTGAGGCCCGCATGTCTAAAACAATGATAAAGAAGTCTGCAGAGTCCAGCAAAAATGATGGGTTCAATGTCTCATGCCTTTTTGTGTGAAAATCCTTTACACAAAAATCTAAAAAGGAGCCCAGTATCATCTTTCTATTCCTTCTGTAACAATTTACCATGAATTTTGTTGCTTAAATATTGGAGATCTATCTTTTTATCATTCTGGAATTCTAGTATCCAACATAAAACTCCATGGGATGAAATGATAATGATGGCAAGCTATGTTTCAGTTTGGAGCTCTAGGGAATATTTCTTGCTTTTTCTGGCTTCTAGAGAACTTTCCTACTTCTTTCCCTCTGTTCATTACTTTAGTATTTTCTTTTCTAATTTTTTATTTATAATTGCATTTTAATTACAATTTCATTAGTTTCTGTGAATGTATGCACATGTATGTACATATACAAGTGCTATGACAAATTTTTGGACATCACAGGAAACTTTTGAGTGGATTCTCTTGCCATTTGGGTTCTGGAGATAAAACTTGGGTCTGACTTCAGGCTTTGTGTCTTTGAAGTCTAAGTGATTTTGCTGCACATTATTACTGTCAGAACGATTATAGTTATCCAGTGCTTTAGCATCTAACAAAAACCCCCTCTGAGAGTCTCAGCAGCTTCCTGCATCGTGCACAGCCCAGGACATGAAGACTTCCCCATTCTTCTTGAGAGCCAGTGTGTTTGAAACACTAATCAAACATTTGCAGAGTGCATCAAAAATAAATGTTTGCATGTAACTTAAGTCTTTCATTATGAAAAATCTTTATTTGAAAATGCAAAAAAGTACTCAGTATTAACTTTCTAGTCCTCCTGTAACACACTACCACAAACTCTATCCTTGAACATGAGGGATTTACCTTTTTATAGTTGTGCAGTTTTAATATCCAACAGAAGAAAAAATATTTGGGCTGAAGTAATGATGATGGCAAACTCCATCTTGGTTTGGAGACACTAGTAAGGAATAAGTTTTTTGCTTTTTGTACCTTCCAGAGGGAATTCTTTCTTATGTGTGCCCATTTATTCTGATTTTTCTTCTCTTTTTATAATTTTTAACATGTATTAAATTATAAATAATTAATTTTGTGGGTCCAAGCACATATGAGTGTATCTGTGTGCATGTGTGTATGTGTGCATGTATGTGCCTACTTGCATGTTTAGGTATACATGTACATGACATGTTTGAGGAAGTCAGGGAACATCTTGTGTATTTGATCTCCTTTGTTTTCTATGTGGGCTCTGGGGATCACGCTCAGGTCTGACATCAGACTTGGGAGCAAGTGTCTTTTTCTTTGAGCAATCTTACTGCCAATTAAAATACTTTTTTTGTTACTCAATTGTAAGATAAATTTATTCTTTCTTTAAAATTTAAAATTAGAAACAATCTTATTTTACGTATGCAAGTTTCCTCTCCCTCCCATCCTCCCATGCTTCCCTCAAAGCTGCCGCCATCCACTTCCCATCCGCTCCCCAGTGAGATTGAGGCCTTCAATGGGGGATCATCAAAGTCTTTCTCAGCCTACATATACTGGGGAGGGCCTAGGCACTGTTCCTTAAAATTCTTTATAGTTGTATATTCATTGTCCACATGTTCCATAAAACCAATGTCCCTCAACTACAACATATATTTTGACTATATAAAATCACCTTTCCCATTTTCCTTTCCCTTTTTACTGTTTTCTTTTCTTTGCCTAGTCTCTCATCTACTTTTACTTCATGCATGCACACAGAGATTAATACACATATGCAAATATGTACACACACACACATATATATATCAGACAATCACAATAAAAACATACACACATACTTGTGAACAAACACATCCAGAGATGCACAATATATACATGTGCACACATCCACTCATGAAACTGATACATGCAGCATATTTAGGATCTACAAGGGATATAAAATATGACATTTTGCTCCTATTTCTTGGCCCACATTTCCCTCTTATCTGGGAAATCTCCCTTCAAGCAAATGTTGGATATTATTGTGTGTCAGAAGATGCTGCTTTTCAGTCCTTACATCTCAAATAAACTCAATGGGAGTACATTTATTTCTGTGTAAACAATATGCTAACTAATCCCATCAGTATTCTGGTTAAGAAAATTATTGAACATCTCCATTGAAGATATAGCAAGAAACAAGAGTTTTACATATTTTAAAAATTGTTGGATATCTTCAAAATTCTTAAAGCTGCCTACTTAGGAATCAGTGTGTCCAAATGTAAATAATGTGGTTGTGTCTGGAAACACAGCTATATGAAATGTTTCCTCAGGAAAATCTTGAAATTATATATATATATATATATATATATATATGACTATAGAGTATTTTTTTCTCAGTGACTAAACATCTGAGGAAAAAAGTTAAAGAGCAGACTTTTATTTTGGTTCAGTTTCTGAGGTTTCCGAATAAGGGAGGTTAGTATCATTCTTGTGGACATGTGGACCCAAGGCAAAGTTGGATTTCATGTGAAATATAAATGGCAGGGGAAAGCAGCTCAACTCATGGCAACTGGGCTGCAGTGGGATTGGAAGAAACTAGAGAAAAGACTTATCTTTAGAAGCATTTCCCTAGTTCCTCAAACTAGCACTGATTATTTTCTACAGCCTTCCAATAATGTCATTAAAGTATGAATCAGTAATAAGTGAATCCAGTAATTGATTCAGAACCCTCATGGCATTGACTTTCAATTGTGGGATCTGCAAACTTGGAACTAAATATTGTACAAAGGATCCTTATGAGTAACACTGTAGAAACAAAGTATTATATATTCCTGTGGGTGCATAATTGGAATATAGGCATATTTGAAGAACAAGAATATCCACCATAAGTAACAATACGGAGGAAAAATGTACTTTCCCTTAGATTAAGATAGCCATTTGAACATTTTATTGACTCTCATCAAAGAAAGTGTCTGTTTTGAATGCCAGAACTGCTGAGATCTTTAATCTTAGGTAAAGACAGCTGTGAGGGTCAGATCTGTTAGGAATTTTTTGTTCTCTCCTCTGCCTAGATTATTAGAAATGGTTTTGGAACAAGACCAAAATGTCAGAAGGAACAGGTCATGGTCTATTGAAATCTGTTCCTACTTGTGTAGAACAGCTTTCAGCATTCATCACTTGACTATGGATCACTTTAGCAAAATGCCTTGGCAGAATAAAGATAGAGCCTTTCTCAGGACAGCCAAAGTTACAAGGATTTAGCACCATCATGGTGGTAGACACAGTAGTGAAGGTAACAGCCTTATAGATCTCTGAATTTCTCATAACACTGCTAAATCTTTATTTTTATTACTGAGTAATGAATTGCTAAAGTTCAGCAACTTATTGGTCCACAGTCCTGTGCCTCAAACCTCTGGAAATATTATGGATGCCTTTACTAAATTTTAGACTAAGAAAATTTAATGGGGTCTGTTTTATTCCAAGGGCAGCACTAGATACCATCCTCATGAGCATCACTTCTTTTCTACAATCCTTCCCATATATCACTCTTTCAAATTCATGGTCTAGTTTGAATGATACATGTATGCTCAAAAGTATACATACAAAATATATTTTCCTAAATTTATAAAGAAATACCAACTCAGTCCATATAATATTATTTGTAATATATACATATACATATATATATTCCAATCCTGAATGACTAACTCTGAAAAACATATACAAACATATCAGACATGTTTGTATACTATGAGCAAATATACACACACATAGTATGTATATATGCACATAAATACACATGTTTCTTGGTTCAGCAATTTGGTATTGGATAATAATTAGTGTGCCCTTTCCTTTGGAAAATAGTTTTCCTCATCTCAGCATGCCTCAGTTATCTGTAGTTCCATGTCTATGGTTGGTGTCTCCTGAACTTCCTTCCTTCCTCATTAATGTGCCTATTGGTATCATCATAGGTCAGTTTGTGTTTAGGTAGCCATGTTAATAAGGTTCTATGTAGGTATCTTCTGACAGTCATGGCAGACACAATCTCACAGGACATTTTCTTCTTTGGCTCATACAATGTTTCCAATTTCTCGTCAAAAGTTATCTCTGAACTTTAGGTGCAGGGGATATGTTGAAAATGTATTAGTTGGGACTAGCTCCGCAAGTTTATACCTTGATCAGTTGTGGTTTTCTGTTATAGTCCCTGTATCTGTGGGTGTAAGGATAAATAATAAGAATGTAGTTAAGGATTATACTAGTTTTGGAAAATGGTAGTTGTAGGTTCTCTTCCAATCTCCATTACTTCACTAGCTGAGGTTAGTTGGCTAGGTTTCCAGTACCAGACATTATTTACTTCTTGATGAACAGGACTTAAGTTCAACCAGAGAGATATTGGTGACTGCCAAAGTATTGAGCTATTATTGCACCCTTAGCGTTATCATGTCATACTGGTCATAGGCGCACTTCATAGATATCATACCTGAGAATTATCGGTTTCTATCCCTGTTTAGAAGCTTGTAATTTGTCTTGTAGTTCCAAGAAAGCTAGACTTTAGAGTGGAAGCTTTGAGGGAATATCCAACTTGGGTCCTCTAGGTACTGTGCCATAAGTATTTACCTACTTCTAGCCCTGGGTGGCAATCAAGTAAAATGACAATAACATATGTTTTGAAATTCCATTGGACAACAGAGACTAACAACTCAAAACAGAAAATTTTTTGCCTGATATGGATTTTATATTACATAATTTGTGGCTAACATGGGGAAGAACATTGTAAAACTAAATGGGAAAATTTCATTATATATATGTATATATTATGAAATTTGAAATTCTTAGATAATTTCTTTTGACTTGTTCAGATATCCTTATTATTATCCTTACTTTGACTAGCTAAACTCTAAGTATATATGATGTTATATTACTTAATTCTATGGTGAAATAAAATTCCCAAATAAATCATTAATGAAAATGAAAATACCAAGTCAGTTGAAGGGCATCTAGTTTACTTCCAGGTTCTTGCTATTTCAAACAACGCTGTTATGAACACAGTTGTACAGACATCCTGGTATGAATGTGCAGACTTTGGGTATATTTCCAAGAGAGGAATGGCTGGATATTGAGATAGACTGATTCCTATTTTCCTGAGAAACTGCCATATTGATTTCTAAGGTGACTGTACAAGTTTGCACTCCCACCAGCAATGGTGGTTGTGTTCCTCTTTCTCCACATACTCTCCAGAATAGACTTTCATTGGTATTTTTCATTTTAGCCATTCTAGCTAGTGTAAGATAGTATGTCATGATAGCTCTTGCCATGTGATGTCCCACAAGCAATGGGTGGCACTCAGAGGTGTGCCCTCAAAAAGATAAGTGTTAGTAATTATGGGTTAATAATCAAATCAGAGGTATCCAATAAGAAACCAAGCAGATGGCCAACAGTTTCATAGTTATTATAGTGTCCTGTGTGTTATTTGGGGGTTGAAAGTAGCAACAGGAACCAGGCAATGTGTAGGAAGACTAAGCATTACAGAATGATGTCAGCATTTAGGATATAAATTTCCACATAGAATGACATAAGTGTAAAAGGGATATTAGAAACAAAAAGAATAGAGAGAAGCATGGCTTCGTGGTAGCAGCATTTTTCTGAGGTGGGCTCTGTTTTGCTAAAGACTAGTAGAGACTTAATAGGGCCAGTGCTGGCAGTAAAATTACACCTGCTATCTTGCAAAAACAGCTGTTAAAACAGCTGCCATTTTGATTAGCAATGCTGTTTAGCAGATAACAGACACTTGGCCAGAAAAACATAAAGATTTTCAGTAAAGTAAGATTCAGATGAAGAAAAACCTCTAATGGTTTATTTAAAGTGTGTTTAAAATGTACTTATTCTTGGGAGAGAAAAAGAAACAAGGGAAAGTGGTTTAAAAAAATAGAGTGGCTGGGCAGTGGTGGTGCACATGCCTTTAATACCAGAACTCCAGAGGCAGAGGCAGGCAGATTTCCAAAAAGATACCCTGTCTCAGAGAAATAAATAGAAGTAAAAGAAATAGAGTAATATAAGCCACATAAAGATGGAAAATACACAAAGATTCTGGGTACTGTATGCTATTGTGTTTTTCAGTTGTTTACAGGCTAGGGAAGGAAAAACTACTGAAATATACTTGATTATAAATGCTGCTAAATTAATCCAACTTATATATTTTAAAAATGCCTTGACTTCTAAATCTAAACATAAAGAGAGGTTACTTGGGAAAAAAGATTTTATTTATGTTTCCACAGAAAATGGAAAGCTGTGGATTCCTTCCAGGCTTTTGTAATTTCTTGAAACAAGATCCCCAGAAGCAGTGGCCCAAGTGATCCAATGTCAAAAACAGCTGAGGTGATGCAATGTTACAGACTTCAAAATCAAGGACTTGGCCAGGTTTCTGAGTTTAGTCATGATCCCATTGGTATGGATAGCACCCCCTATCAGCAGGAAGCAGTTTGGAATGAACAACATCCAAATTCCCAAATATTGTTTATAAATCTTTCCTTTCATTTAAATGGGGTTGCTTATAATTGGTTAATGATCATAAAAAACTCTTTATAAAGGTAAAATGGGATTATGGTATGGAAATGAATACTTTCTATTGGTATGGTTCTTCATTTCTTGATACAAATTTAAGGTCCATTTTGTGATATGTTCATTTCTCCTCTTGTTTAGGTATTGTGTTTCTATAACTCATTTTAAAATGTAATGTATATTTAAATATATATTATAGATAGTTACCTATAATAGTCAGAACTTATAGTTAGGAAAGTTAGGTTTTCAAGATATACAGAGATGTATTTAAGATAGATAGTCTTCAAAACTTTCAAAGACCTTTAGAAAATGGAATTTAAATGGCTTAGGGTTTTTCTTGACCATGAGAAATGTATGCTCCTGGCATATCACTTATGTCTGAGAGGAAGATGGGCATTGAGGAAACTTGTTATGGAGTTTGCTTTCAACATGGCAAGATTAGCCATTTGGGCAAGAAACTACTCTTGCTTAAACTGTTTGACTGTTACTGTAAACCTGGACATGTAGGACTCACAGAAAAGTGACTACTGAATTTATACAGTCCTTCAGGTTTCCCGCTTCATGGAAGAGTCTGCCAGACTTTCTGCAGGACACAGAAAAAATGACTGAGAGGTGGCCAATGCAGATGGACAGTTTGAAATTTCCTGCTTTGCTGAAAAGTCTTCCAGACACATTGTGGCCTATAGGCTGAAGATGGATGTCCCAACATTACAGAGGAGCTCGATTGACTGTCCAGGTAGCTAGATGCCTCTGTCAATTCTCGTGTTTATATATTATCATTCTGTGGTCTTTGAAGGCATTGAAGACAGCTAGTTACAATTACAGTTTTCCTTAGTTATGATAAAAGATAAGCTACATATAAGACTTTAGACACAGATAGGATAGATAATAAAATATTTTCTTTAAAACTTACTAAATGTTATGGACAACATATTGTAACTATAGTTATTACTTGATAACTATTCTGTTATATATAATTTGAATATGTTAAAGTTAAAACCATTTTTATTTTAGATAGAAAAGAGATGTTGGAAGATGTCATTCTGTAAACATGTGTCTGATTGGTTTGAATAAAACACTGCCGGCCAATAGGGAAACAAGATAGGATGGAGTAGTAATCTAGGAGGATTCTGGGAATTGTAGTGTGGAGAACTCTCACCATTTGATATCCTGGGCGCACCGGGTGCTAAGAAGTTAGTCCTCAAAAAGTAGATAATTTTTTTTTCAACACAACAAATTGCCTTTATTTCGGTATGTATCCACATTTCAACAATTAGTGGTCTTGAACAGAGTAGGGAACGTGACAACTAGCCAGGAGGCCAGGCCCACCGTTCTGAAAACTCGTGACACAGAGCTCCTCCAGGTCCCTGCCCAGGGTCTGAGGAGCAGCAACCCTGAAACCTGAGTGTGTAGGGTCAAGGCCTGTGTTCAAGCTGTCGGGTTCCACTGATGGGTGGCCAGGGAGTCCTGTCCAAACCACTTCAGCGTGTAAAAGCAAAGCGACTAAGAGAAACGAACCGACTCAGTACCCTGTGCGCTGATGACTCTCCGCATGGCCTTTCTTTAGGCACAACCACCAAGGGCCCTGAGCGCTGGCAGGTTTGTTTCCCTGTGACTGACTGCTCTGTTCACATTGAGACCTGAGCTCAAAGTGCATCGGCTGATGGTGGCAGCAGGGCCAAGGGCCCAGAACCCCCTTCCCAGGCTGGTGGCAAGGGAATGCATGGCCAATAGCTAACTAAGGAGGCCAGCTGTTCCAAGGTCATCTCATGGCTCTGGCCACAGCAAGTGTGGGGTGATGATGGGCAACGAGGGAGTTGAGAATGAGGGGGTGGGCAGCACCCGTTGATAAAGGTAGGGAGACGGGAAGCCCTGAATTCCTCAACCATAGCCAATTTTAGAGGGAGGGGAGGGTTATAATTTAAGCTTTGGCCAAGGGCAGGAGTGGGGGAGCAGAAGAGGGGCCAATGGCTTGGAAGCAGCATCACTTAAGACTTATGAAAGCAGGGGTGAAGCCAAAGCACCCCCAAGCCCAGCAGTCATTCCACAGCTGCTACCTGAAGCCTTCCCATCTATTCTAAGGGCTCCCATAGTTGTGGCGGCGGGGGAGGGGGCGAGCAAAGGCAGACCCAGGCCATGTGTCAGCATCAGGTGATTGTGAAATGTGTCTTTTCACAGTTGTGTTAGCTGTGTCCACCGCTCCCAACAGAAACGACTTCAACACACCTTCTTGAACCCAGAAGTTCAACTAGGCAGCCAGCAGCTACACTCCACAGATGTTACACAGAACAACTTAGGTATTTCAAATTGACAAGAAATTAGTACCAGAACAGTGTCTCAGGATGAAGTCCCAGTGGAGCGTCCTCTCCAGTATTTTGAGGTCTACAAAATCAATCTAGAAAATTCACTGCTGTGGAAAATGAAGATTTAGAGTGGATTGGGGAGGGGAGGCCGGGGTCTTTGTGACTAATTGCTGTAACACTGTTCTTCTTGTGACTGTGGCAGCTTCATGTTCTCTTTTGACATCATCAGGCACTGAAGTACCTGCAGGATGACTTTGATGCTGTGGGAATTCTGCCACTTTGCCAGCTCTGTCGTGGCCCTTGGATCCACCATTCCATTTGAACTACTCACCCTGCTCATATTGACATTTGTTACAAATGTGACAGATGGGGGTGCTTCTGGGTAGTTATGTCCACATTCTATTTTAAGGCTGTATATTCAGTTTTCATAAATTGTTTTTGGAGGCCTAATTATCATCCCTGTCCATCTCGTAAGTGTCATGTCTTCGTCATCCTCTAGACTCCAGCTAACTGTGCCTTCACCTACTACTTTCTGACCTACTTTCAGCTCTTCCAACAGTCAGAAATTTCAAGGTCCTTTCACTCCCAAGCCTGTGGTAGCTGCCATCTTGTGTCGATGTCATTCATGGCTCAGTGCTTAAGAGCACTTAGTGCTCTTCCAGAGGACCCAGGTTCAAATCCCAGCACCAACATGACATTTTAAAAAAATAAGTTCTTATAAAATATGTATTAGTAAATATGGATTAATAATCAAATCAGAGCTAGTCAATAAGAAACCAAGCAATGCGGATAGATCCATGTCTATTGCCATGCACAAACTTATGTCCAGCTGGATCAAAGACCTCAGCAAAAATCCAGGCACAATGAACCTGTTAGAAGAGAAAGTGGGAGGCACCCTTGAACGAATTGGTACAGGAGACAGCTTCCTGATCATAACTCCAATAGCACAGACACTATGATCGACAATTAATAAGTGGGACCTCCTGAAACTGACATGCTTCTGTAAGGCAAAGGACACAGTCAGCAAGACAAAAAGGCAACACACGGATTGGGAAAAGATATTCAATAACCCTACATCTGAAAAAGGGCTGATCTCCAAAATTTACAAAGAATACAAGAAACAAGTCTCCAAAGCCCCAAAGGATCCAATCAAAGAATGGGGTACAGAACTAAATGGAGAATTCTCTCTTTTTTTCAATAGAGGAGACTAAATTGGCTGAGAGACACTTGAGAAAGTGCTGAACATCCCTAGCCATCTGGGAAGTGCAAATCAAAACAACTCTGAGATTCCATCTTACTCCTGTCAGAATGGCTAATATCAAAACTCCAATGACAGTTTATGTTGGAGAGGATGTGGTAAAAGGGAAACACTCCTACACTGCTTGTGGGAGTGGCAAATTGTACAGCTCCTTTGAAAATCAGTATGGGGATTCCTTCAGGAAAATGGGAATCAGTCTTCCATAAGACCCAGCAATTCCACTCTTAGGCATATACCCAAAAGATGCACATTCATACAAGGATGTCTGTTCCTCTATGTGCATAGCAGCATTATTTGTAATAGCCAGAACCTGGAAGCAACCTAGATGACCCTCATCTGAAGAGTGGATAGAGAAAATGTGGTACATTTACACAATTCAGTACTATTCAGTGAAAAAAAAAACAACGGAATCTTGAAATTTGCAGGCAAATGGATGGCACTAGAAGAAACCATACTGAGTGAGGTAAGCCAGTCTCTAAAAAAAAGAAACATGGTATGTACTCACTCATTTATGGACTTTAGACATGAATCAGGGTAGTGCCAGCATACAATCCCACTGACAGAGAGTCTAGGAAACAGAACCTTCATCCAGCTACTAATGAATGCAGAGGCAGATACCCAGATACAAGCACTGAAATGAACTCCTGGAATCCAGTGTCAGAAAGAGAAACCTGATCATCAAAGGAGTTAAAAGTGGGCTGGTATAACCCACAGAAACAGTTGACCTGAACAAGGGGGAGCTCTTGGACTCCAGATTTAATGCCTCTGTGGAAAGTATGGGACTGACCCAGACACCCTGAATGTGGGTGTCAGTGAGGAGACCTAGGTAATCTATGGGGCCTTGGGTAGTATTTATCCCTGACATACAAATAGAATTTGAGTGCCCATGCCACAATATGGGAGGCTCTCTCAGCCTGGACTCTTGTGGGAAGGCTCAGGTCCTGCCCTGGATGAAATGACAGTTACTGGAGGTCCACCATGGAGGGCCACACTCTCCTTGGGGATCAGAGTAGAGATTGGTTGGGGGACTGGAGGACCTGGAGGGGAGGGTGGGGCAGGGAAGGGAGTGAGAGGGAGCAGGGATTGAAATGTGAAACAAGATTTTTTCTAACCTAAATAAAAAAATTAACAAAAAGCAACCAAGCAAACAGCCAACAGCTTCATAATTAAAAAAATGGTATCTATTTTTTTTTGGTTTTTCGAGACAGGGTTTCTCTGTGGCTTTGGAGGCTGTCCTTGAACTTGCTTGGTAGTCCAGGCTGGTCTCGAACTCACAGAGATCTGCCTGCCTCTGCCTCCCAAGTGCTGGGAATAAAGGCGTGCGCCACCAACGGCCGGCTAGAGAATTATCTATTTATTTAGTCATGCACACCACTTTTTAATTGGATTGTTTGGTGTATTGGTGGCTAGCTTCTTGAGTTCATTGTATATTTTGGAAATAATAACTCTGTCAGATGTGGGGTTGGTGAAGATATTTCCCATTCTATAGCCTGCAGTTTTGTCTTGCTCATAGTGTCCTTTGCCTTACATAAGCTTCTAAGTTTTAGGAGGTCCCATTTGTTTATTGTTGTTCTCAATGTCTGTGCTACTGGTGTTATGTTCAGGAAACATTCTGTTGTACCAATACATTCAAGGGTATCTCCCCATTTCTCTTCTAAGAAGGTTCAGTGTGGGAGGATTTATGTTGAGGTCTTTGATCCATTTGGACCTAAGTTTTGTTCCTGGTGATAGATATAGATCTATTCTGCAGTCTTATGCATGCCTGTTTCCAGTTATGCCAGCACCATTTGTTGAAGATGCGTTCTTTTTTTCCACTGTATAGCTTTGGCTTCTTTGTCAAAAATCAAGTGTTTGTAGGTGTGTGATTTAATAAAATTTTGAATTTGATTCCATTGGTCTACCTGTCTACTTTTGTGCCTGTTTTCAGGATTATAAATCTATAATAGAGCTTGAAGTCAGGATGGTGATGCCTCCAGAAGTTGCTTTATTGTACAGGGTTGCTTTGGCTCTCCTGGTTTTTTTGTTTTTCCATATAAAGTTGAGTATTGTTCTTCCAAGGTCTGTGAATAATTGTGTTGAGATTTTGGTGGGAGTTGCATTGAATCTATAGACTGCTTTTTGCTATGTTGATCAGACCTATCCAATGAAATGTGGTACATTTACAATATGGAGTATAATTCAGCAGGAAAAAAACAATGAAAACTTGAAATTCAAAAGCAAATGGCTGGAACTGGAAGAAAACTTTCTGTGTGAGGTAACCCAATCACAAAAAGACAAGCAAGGTATTTACTCCTTTGTATATGGATGAGAGACACAGACTAAAGGACTACCAGCATATAATCCACACCACCAGAGAAACTAAGAAACAAGGAGGACCCAAAGAGAAGAATTCCTGGTCCCCCAAAGAAGGGGAGGGTGACAAGAACCCTAGCAAATTGTGAGCACAGGAGAGAGAAGAGAGATGGGACAGGGAGAGAAAGAGAAGTAAGGGGAAGGAGAACAGGAGGACTGATACAGGGGAGGAATAAAGGAGGGCAGGAAAGGAGATGCCTTGATAGAAAGAGTCAGCATATGTTTGGAGAGAGGTCTGTTACAGGGGAAAAATTAGAGGAGCCACAGGAATGACCCCAAATAAGAATCTAGGTAGTGGTGGAGAGGATGCTTTTGATGCCCTTACCCTATAATAGATTGATGACTACCTTGGTTGCTATTCCTAAAGCCTTCATCTAGTAGCTGATCAAAGGAGAAACAGGTAGCCACTGCTAAACATTGAGCCATATTCCTGGAATCTAGTTGTGGAAAGAGAGGAGGGATGAGCAAAGAAGCCAAGACTGTGCTGGAGAAACACATAGAAACAGTTGACCTGACCTATTGAGTGCATGTAGACACTACTTGTAAAGGTAGAGAACCAGCATTGAACTGAACCAATACCACTGAATGTGGGTGCCATCTAGGAGGTCAGGGAAGTCTATGGGATCTCTAACAGTGGAGCAAGTGATTATCCCTAGAGCACAAATGGACTTTGTGAGCACATTCACTATAGAGTGACACTGTTGCAGCCCAGATAGGATGAAGAGGGTCTAGGCCCTCCCCTAAATGATATGACAGACTTTGGTGGTCCACCTTGGAGGGCCTCACTATCCTTGGTGAGTGAATGGGGGTGGATTGTGGGGAGTCGGTTTGGGAGCTTCAGATGAAGGGAATTGGGGATTTTTGTAAATAAGAGTGCTTCTGAAATAAAAAAAATACTAAGTCAGTTCACCCAACTAAAAGACAATTTCCCCAAGTTCTCTGTTACATGAGAGTACCAGTTTTAAGTCTCCAAGTCTCCTTTTTTGTTTTATTGTGGAGCAAATAAAGTAGATAGGAAACTAGAAATGGACTATTGGTAGGGAATTAATTCAGAGATAAAAATAGTAGTACATAGGAAAATTGAACTTAAAAAGGGAGAGTGGTAGGGGCAGAAGGAGTCTAGCAGTTAGCAGAGTGAGGGAATGGGTGAGTGAAATGTCAGAGGTAAGCTTACCCAAGCAAAATATGCATGGAGAATCTAGTAGTATACTTATGATCTTGCTATCCAGGTAAAAATAAATGTAATATGACAATATAGTAGAAAATGTGTGATATGAAAAAGCAGAGGGTGCGGGAATGCTGGGAGCTAAAGTTTTAAGTAGGAATGAGAAAATGAGTGTGGGAAAGAGAACAATATGGGTGGATTAACCAAAAATTTAACTTTCATTGTTTATACGTTTGTTAAGAATATTTTTAAGCCTGTCATTGATTAGAAGTACCCCTTTTAGTGAGAAAGTTTGCTCCCAGATGTTATGGATCATTAGAGAAGATTTTTTCAGTGCCAGGCATAGGTTCCCTTGCTACAAGTTCTTTTCCCTGGGGATTCCATGATAACACAGGCCATTGACAATGCTACAAGCATTTCTTTCCCACCAGCCTTGTTCCGGTGCTGTGTCAGCCCTAAATGAATACTTAAACACTATATAAATTATAAAACTTTTGGCTCATTAGCTAAGACTTCCTATTGGCTAGCTCTGTAATAATTATTAATTCATCTCTATCAATCTAAGTATTTCCATATTGTCTTATTTTACTGGAGAGACACCTTACTCCATCCTTTCTTCCCCAGGCTCACATGATTATTCTTCTCTGCTTACACTTCTCAGAATCCTCCTTGTTTCCTAGGTATACCTGTCTTCCTGCTTCATTGGCCACAGTGCTTTATTTATCATCCAGTAAGAGAAACTTATGAAAAGAAGACATCCCCACCATGACACTGTTCTTGGTTATCCATCATAACCTGATGCAAAGACATTAAAACAAAGGTAACTCACATA